AAAATTTTGTTTCTTTTGAGATCTCAAAAGGAAGACAGGGTATTTTGTTTAAAAGGGACAGATTTTTAAAAGGTTAAGAAACCCTGCTCCATTCTCCAGGGAGAGAGGTTGGTGTTTTTATTTATTTCTTTTGAGGTGAGTCACTTTCAAATGATGAAGAGTCATAATAGTAGGTCCAAAATGAATGTGGGAAGAGTTGTTGTGGAAATGTTCACTAGCCTGTGATGTTTTGTGGACCAATGTAATAGAATCAGTGCCATTTTATAGTTTTCTTAACATTGAAGTTCAGATGTTTAAACCTATATTAAATCTTTTTTTTTTCTTTTCTTTCTTTCTTTTTTTTTAATATGTATAAGGGGCACCTGGGTGGCTCAGTGGGTTAAGCCTCTGCCTTCAGCTCAGGTCATGATCTCAGGATCCTGGGAACGAGCCCCACATTGGGCTCTCTGCTCAGCGGGGAGCCTGCTTCCCCCTCCCTCTCTGTCTGCCTCTCTGCCTACTTGTGATCTCTCACTCTGTCAAATAAATAAATAAAATCTTAAAAAAATATATATGTATAAGGCCAAATCCAGTAGCAGGGTTGAGGCTGGAAGGATGAGTAACAGGTGTCATAATAGAAAGAGTGCTTCCATTTTCAGAGTTGTGTCTTCTGCAGGCTGAAGTCTGGCCCTGCCTCTGCTGCTCACAAACCAGGCAGGTTCTTGAATCTCACTGCAGAGCAGGGGTGAGAGGGTGCTTCTCACCTCTCACAGTGGGGGGAGGATGGACTGAGACCGTGGGCACAGTGCCCAGGTGCACTGCGCAGTACCTGTACAACTTGCGAAGTCCTTCCGGATGAGAGCTCCTGCAAGACAGAAAGGCCAGCTGACATTTCTGTCCTTTCGGTGTTTCTAATTACAGATTTTTTTATTCTAAAGAGTCACAAGAGCTGTCTTATTAATTAAGCAGATTATTTTGAAATAATTATTTGCCCATGTAAATTTTAAGAAATCCCTACTCTGAGAATGAATTTTAAGAGAAGTATTCTCAAATTGAATATCTGTAATTTGTGTCTCAGTGTTTTTCGTTCATTTTTGTACAAAGAGCTTCCTAGTGTGCTCTTACTCTGAAATTTTCTGCAAAGCTCCCTGTAGCCATTTTGAACTGTCTTCACTGCCCGTGTGGCTGCCCCTGAAGGGAACTGAGTTCCAACCAGTTTGCTTCTCCAAGGACCTGTTTTTTCAGACAGTGAGTTACCACCCTACGTTGGGTTGAGAATTTAGTGAGACCGGCATTGTTTTATAAGGGGGAAGTAGAAAATAATCAACCTGTACTCCACAGACTAAAAATTAATCTTACTTTGGTGAAATCTTTCTTTTGGGTTTTTGCCTGTATATAAATGTTTTGAGTTTTTTTGAAAGCATAGAGTGTTTTTCTCATGGTGGATCCTGGTTAGAGCTTGAGTCTTCCTAATTGGGTAGTTTGCTTCTTTACAAGACTTTGACTTTTTTTTTTTCTTTTTCTAAGACTCTGGTTTTCTTAAAATAGTGGTCATACATTTTACTCAGCTATCATAGTCGGCCACATGAGAGCTGCACAATATTTAAGAGAAAAAGAGGAACAACTCAAAGAATGAGTGTTAGCCTTAGGAAGGTTTCCCACAGAAGGGTGTACAGCATTGTGTCTTCTTCCACCCTGCAAAAATGCACAGAGTAGAAGAGCAAAAGCCATAAATTCCAGTGTTTGATTTTTCTTGAAATATTTTCATCATGCTTTGTCATGCAAAGTAACTGAAGGTGTGAAAGTACATATTATGCTCATAATATACACCCAAAGCTTTTAGATCTTAGTAACTTATTTTCAAAGTTAGCAATAAATCTAAATATGTGAAATTTATTTACCTTTTATAAGTTTGATTCATTAAATGTCTGTTTGCATTTTTTTGACACTAGGCAAATTAGCAAGCGTTAGCACAAAGATAATTGTGTTAACCCCCATGCCTGGTAAAAGTAGGGTTAAGATCTCTTTGCTCTGGGGAAACTGCTTTAGAGAGAGAGTGCAGGGCCTGGGGTCAGGCAGACTCTGGCTTGAATGCCAGTTCCTTTACTCTGACTCCCAGCCTTGGGCAGGCAGGCGTTCAGCTTCAGAGCTGTGGTTTTCTCAGGTGCCAAGTAGGCATGGTAATAACTACCTCAAAGAGCTGTCAGGAGGGTTAAGTAGCAGGCTTTTCCTCCGTGTTGGGAAGATGGAGCACAGAAGCCACTGCTGTCGGGCCCCTCCAAACTTGGGCGGTTTAGGTGTCACATGGGGTTCACATGAATTAACTGAGAGATGCCCATGCCGTGTTCTGCAGGGTGCCCAGCTCATCCTGCACCTGGTATGGTATCTTTACCTCCTTTAAGAATGAATGTTTTTATGGTTCCATCTTGTTCACTTTATTAGGAGATTTTCTCACTCTCATCTGTAATGGATTTGCAGGATCCTGTGCCTTAGGAGAAAGGACACCATCTGAGCAGCAGGCACTCAGTCAAGTCCACGAGCCCACGTTTCCAAACCCTGAAAGATATTTCTGTTGCTTTTCTTGTGCGTTGTGTGTTCTCACTACACGAGTGCTTTCTCTATACCCAGCTGCAGTGTCCACAGACCATAGCCACTTGCTTTCCCTCCGGTTTTATGTGGCAGTCTATTACACTGATGGCTCCAGGCCACCCACGGTCAGCATCCCATGTGAGATTATTGCTTGCCCACTTAGTTTGCTGGGCTACTTTAAAGTGTGAAGAGAAAGGCCCGGTAGACTTCTGTTACTGTTGTGCACCATGAACAATGCAAATACGAATTCTAAGCCAAAGAAAGGTAGCTCTACTGTTCTTCTTTAAGAGAGAGATTTAGTCTTCATAATTTCGTTCCTCCTCTGTGCTCTTGCTCTGCTGCTTCCTCTGGAAGCCTCTTCCCTCTTCTGCCCAGTCTGCCCTCTCCATGTGGCAGTCGCCCTCATCTTCTCAGATGTCTTTATGGGTCTCCTCTGGTGCTTTTTCTAGATTTCCCCATTTTGGTTTGGCCATTCTTTCTCTAGGGCTCCCCTCTTCTTGAAAACTTAGTTCTGTCATAGCAGCAGTCTCTGTGTGGGTGGCTCTGTGCTAAAATGTGAATGAGCTTGGTGAGTGCGGAAACCCCATCCTGGTGTCCTGCCTGGCTTTTTGCCTGCTGGGCTGAGCATGTTACTTGGCCCATATTAGCAGCTTTATAGATGTTGGGTGAATGAGTAATGTGCTCATCCCTAGTGGAAGGTCAGGAGAAAGACAAAACCACTTACTCTCCTTCCCAGTATGCGATCTCTTGTTGCATACACTCTGAGATACCTTCTGGGATGTGCAGGGTTCTAGTAGTTTCTGCCTTTGTAGCGCAGCCAGCAGTCCACCAGGAAACAGGGAAAGGCTTCTTGGTGACAGGGGAGTAACAAATATGGGCCACCAGCTTTCTGTGGACCATGCTGTCTTTTACAACACTCCTTTGTATGTAGAACAAGGAATCAGATACAGGACCTTAGCTATGCTGGTGACAGACAGGTTGCCTGACTGGCCAGCAGCCTTGGAGGAAAGACTGGAAAGTGGTTTGTAGCATATGACTTGGTACTTTTGTTGGTGTTTGTAGTGAATCCAAATTGTTTTTTTAAAAAAGCTGTTAGGTTCTCTATATTCTGATTGAGAAATCTGGCCCATACATGTATATACTCTTTTGAGACATTCTTGCAAAAAGTTAATAAAATGTGTCCTTTCTTTTAAAGGTTTGCTAGGGCTGCTGTCACAAAGTGCTGCAGACCAGGCAGCTTAAACCACAGAAAATTTTCTCACAGTTCTGGAGGCTGGGAATCGAGATCATGATGCCAAGAGGGTTGATTTCTTTCGAGGCCTCTTTCCTTGAGCTTATTATAGATGGTGTCTTCTCTCTGTGTCTTTGTATCATCTTTCCTTTGTCCCTGTCTGTGTCCAGATTTCCTCATCTAATAAGGACACCAGTCACATTCTGTTAGGACTCACTCTAACGACTTCATTTTAATTTAATTACCTCTTTCAAGAACCTTTATCCAAACATGGTCACATTCTGAGGTACTGGTGGTTAGGACTTCAACATAGGAATTTTGGGTGGACACAGTTCTGCCCATAACGTTGTGGATTTTAACTACTTAATAAATTTGTGTAGGACACTGCATTGCCTGAGGTTACATGGAGTGTTTTGTGGGAGGGCACATAGAACATACCATGTTTGTGTATCAGACATAGAGAAAGTCATTGATCCTGCAGTAGCCGAGTGTGGTAGCCTGGGTGTGGCAACTTCCCCAAGCCCTCAAAAGACTCCACCCTCCTGTGAAATACAGTCCTGCATTTAATGGGACAAAGGTATAATGTAACAGGAAAATAGGAAGGACGGGACAAGTGCCCAAAAAAGGGGAAAAGGTACAGAGGCTAGCAGCTATTCCTCCAATTAATAATGCCTTCTGAGTACAGCAAATTTGAATGTACATAAAATTATGTTAAGATTAGTAATCATTTTATACATTTGTGGCATAAAGACACTGTTTTAAGCATCTTTCTCAGTCTTTCCTGTCCATGAAGCACTCTGATACATAGAGACAGCAAAGTCCTTGAGAGTCAAGTTAGAGTTAAAGGTTCTAGCTGAAAGATTTTCTACAGTATCTTTACAGTTTGAGGAAGCCCATATGAGGTGTTTCAGAGCTGTGGTTGAGGGCAGATTATCTCTTGAGTAATTGACTTTTCTGGGTGGTAAACCAAAGGCTCTGGGAGAAGAACTACAGACTTGCACTCTGAAGAGGACTTTTCATTAGATGTGGCACATGTGGCCACGTGCAGTTACTAACTTGTTATTCACATCGCTAAGTTACAAGGAACGAATCCCCGACATTGTTGAGAAATTCCTCTTTTGAAACCTTCATCAGCAGTTATTTAGAGAATATTTATTTTACGTTTTGTTTTTTTGTTTTCTTCTCTCCTTTTAAAATCCAGCTCATGGTTTTTGGAATCTTTCTGTGCCTGGATGCATTTCTGTATGTGTTCACCCTGCTTCCTTTAAGAGTTTTCCTGGCACTGTTCAGGCTCTTCACTCTGCCTTGCTATGGCTTAAGGTAAGTTTGAGACTGAGCTATTTCAAATGTTTCAATTGTTTTTGCTACTCGTAAAAGTGGTATTTTACTACTTGTAGTTGTTAAAGTAAATAGTCACTTGGATAGATTTTGCAGAATAGGGATAATTTATACAGTTTCATTCATACTTTCGCCTTAATGCATGAACTAATGCTGTTTATCTTTTTAATGAACATTATATAATGTGCCTATATAACATTTGTACTTTTTCCATGCATACTTTTTTTCCAAATGGTTTTGAACTAGAACTTTGCTTTGGCCAGTACGGTAACATTAATAATGCAGGCGGCCACATAGGAGAGTGGGAAGGCATGGGGACTAAGAGCCAAGGACCCGGTAGCTACTATGCTACTGTGCTGCTCGCCCAGTATATTTGTGTTCGTGAAGTCCCTTGACCTCCGAGGCATGGTCTTGGGTTCTGGGCTGGGAGTTATCAGAATCTCCTAAGGAGCTCTTACTTCAGGGGCTTCTCTTCCTCTCATTTAAGAATCACTGTCTTAGTGGCCTCGGGAGCCTTAGTTAATGATTCCCGATGAGGCTCCCTCCGATTTGTGAACGCAGAACACTCTCGAAGACCATTGGCCTGGTGGGAAGGCTCAGACAGCCCAGCCTCACATTGATTAGCTGGTGAGGTGTGGGCAGCTGCTTAACTTCTCTATTCTCTAAGCCTGTTTCCACATCACAGTAAAAAGGGGATGTTGAGAGCCTAGCCTACTCTACCACAAAGATGAGAGGTGTAAAAAGAATACCCAGCATGGTGCCTGTTCACAGTAGACCAGAACAAATAGTAGTTTCCTTCCTTTTCTCTCAAAACTAGGAACAGGAAGATGAAAATGTTAAGCTGACATGAATCTTAATGCTTTATTGGTCTTGAGGTTAGAAGTTTGGGTTTTACAGTTTTCTTTTTTTGTACAGACATGTCAACATGTCTCCACTCTGTGGAGTCATTCTCTAGTATATTATTTTACAGTTCTTAGGGTAGTTGCCCAAATGACATTTCTCACATGGATCACTTTTCTAGATACATTTCATTCTGAAAAAGTTTTAAAATGCTGAAATGGACAATAATAAGTAACTTCATTTAACTATAAAGTAGGTGATTATTTTTTGGTATATAAAAATATAATTAATGTAATTATCAATGACTTAACCATGGAAACTGAGGTAAAACATTGATGGTCAATATACAAAATTATGTGTTGAGTTTTTAAAATGACTAAAGTCTTGGAAAATTCTCTTTTAAGTGGTAAGTGGGCATATACTTAATACTTACTAAGCAGTGAATAATACATACAGTCTCTTTAGAAGTAAACCTTAAACAGTTTCAACAGGGAAGATACCCTTGCAATATAAATTGGAAGAATTTATGGTCGTGATGATCATATTATGAAAAGAGAAAAATTCTTTGCCAGATTACATGGAGTAAAACAATGGTCATCAACCATGATCACATCACTGTTCTTTGTGATACTTGACATGCTGTAGCCCTGCCTACCAGAATGAGAGAATTATGTGGCATATTTTATTAATTACATGTTAGTCAAGTGGAAGACTCTTTTAGGGATATAATCATCAGCTTTAGGATAGTCAAGTATATATACCTTTGGGAGAATTTTTAATGCTTTATTCTTAGTAGCAAACCTTTTTTTTTTTTTTTTTTAAAGACATCTGTAGCATGATACTTTTAACATTAGCAAAGCCAAATCTCATATATTTTTTTTTTCTCTTATCACTGGGGGCTCAATAAAATTATGGTTATTTTAGTTTTGAGAAAACCAGAGAAAGTATCTAATAAGACATCACTAAATATAAATCTTTATGTGGACTGCATAGCCTAGATGGACACATAGAGATTTGGATAGAGCTATGTGAAGCTACCTGACGTAAAATAACTAATGCCACATAGAGGTGTTCACGTCTGCACTGTGAGCTAAATTGACTTTCTACTTATTCTTGGATCAACAGTGTGCTCCAGCCTATCTCTAAGTGAATGGCTTTCAAAACATAGGGTGTTACATATGGCTGTTGGCATGATGAGATAAAACATTATAGGGAAATACATCCTAAGAACTCTCTTCTAAAGTGGGTCCTTCCCTGGGTATGTTAGTACACAGTGGCTGCTCACGGAATGAGGGACAGTGGTGATTTGTCAGTGTTTCCGAAGTTCCTTTTTAGCCTCTGTTTGAAGACCCATCTGGTTATTGTACAAGACATCTAGAACTGTGTCATTTCGAGTGTTCCTTGTCACTGGGGAGAAGCAGGGCATCCAAATCGCATGAGAGAAGTCTTTCACTGTTCTGAAAACTAAAAAGGTTGCTGCAGAGAACTGCCACATCTTCAGTCCCCGCCTCCCATTTGCTTTGTTGTGAGTGGCCGATGGATCCTGGAGCCGACCTTTTCTAGATATTTGAAGATTTTTTTTTTTTTTTTAGATATAAAGTAGAGGTGGTTGCTTTTGTATATTACTTTAAAATATTTTTGGTCTAAATTGAGTAGCGTTTCAAAACAAAATTAAAATGTGTTCTCTTGTCAAGGTTTTAGAGCTAAAATGACAGCAGAGGGCAGTGTGTCACCCCACATGTAAGACTGTTCCCTTGTCCTATGAAAACCATTCGTGCCATTTCTGCAGTTTGGACCAACTGAAAAATTATATTTTAGGCGGTCACTAATAAATATATGATGTGTATATATAATGTGGAATGCAGTTAAAATTACATAATAGAACTTTAGCAACTTCCTATATTCTGTGCAAGTGTAGGCCAGAATACACAGAATGAGAAAATACTGCCTTACTGTCTTAGTATTAAGTATGCTTTATCAAAACTGAGTAATCTGTGCTTAGAGTAGTGTGCATTGCAATTTATATTTTCTTAGAGAGCAATTGAGAAAACGGTGTCTTTTTGAGCATTATTTTTAAAACTACCAAATTTGAAATGTTTAAAACTTGAACTATAACGAGAAATATTATAGTAATAAAGCTATTACTAATATTATGTCTAAGACCTTTTCAATATTTTAGGAATATAAAAATACATTTATTTTAACAAAATTATTATTTAGAAGTAGCCAAAATCTGCCTTCTTATACCTTTTCTTTCAACATTCTCTACTTCCATTAAAGGTTGATTTGTCTCACCTGTAGCTGTACTATGTTCCATCTTTTTCAGCAAGCAAAAAGTGCTCTTTCCTTCAGTCTGACTTTTATTTTTTCAAAGGGATAGAAAGAAATTAAAAGAAAAATAAAGAAGTTGATTGTGGGTTTTTTTTTTCTTCAAACTGTTCCCTTATCCTTACATTCCTATATGTCTTTTTATAAGAAAGTCATTATGTTCCTACTCTCTTAGTTCTTTTTAATTATCCCCCTCAAAAGGGGGGAAAGGATATTTAGCGGAGTAATCAAGATGCTGACATGAAAACCATGATTTTGCAGTGTCTGGTACTGTCTGTTTCAGTATGACATCAATAGTTGTGTCAGGTTGTAGCCTTCTTTCCATATTTGTGAGTAGAGTGCTTGCTTCCTCTGCTTGCAGAGTTGTGTCTGGTACAGCGTGTGTGAGTGGCTTTGGAAAACTGACAGCCTCCCAGAATTTCTGCTTCAGAATTTATTCTTTGGACCTATTTCTAAATATTCTGTAAACTTGCCATGGTTTTTGCGTTTTGCCGCTTTTGACAACTTCGTACACAAGGACTCGGCCTTTCACTAAAGCTAAGTGCCAGAGGAATCCTGCTCGCCCTTATGAGAACCCAGCCTTCATTGTGACTACCCCACTGGTTGGCACTTGGCCAGCTTTTGATCCTGTTAAAATATTGTTCATTTAAGAAGCTGGCAGGGTGATTGTTTTGACTTGATAGGTGTGTTTGTGTTGCCTACAAAGGGTCACTGCTTCCATAAAAAATGTAATAATCTCAGGAATACTTATTTGAAAACCTTTTACTAATGAATTAACAATCTTGAAAAGTCTTCGCTCCCAGCTATTTTGTTGGAGACTAAAGTAAATAGAGAAATATATCCAGATTGTGTAAAAACAGATCCCTGTGTTTCTTCCCTCTTTTGCATTTAAGGTAGTATCATTTTTAGAAAGATATCCAAGAAACTTGAATATTTTCAATGACATGGAAATCGGAATTAAATTTTGATTTATTTGATTCATTGTATGAGGTACGAGTGTTTCTTGGAAGAATGAAAGTATTTCATTTTTTAGAAGAGTAGACTGCTCTTATTATGTTAAAGAGGTATCAGATCTCATTTTTCCAAGTTTGCTTATAGAATAAATAAAATAACTAAATGCGGAAGTATTTTTTATTTACCTGGCATTTTTATGAATCTTCTCTGATCAAACCTGTGACTTCACTTTGTGTTTTAGAATTCTCCATAACATTTGAGTTAAAAGTTGAGGGAGACTGTAGAGAAAATAGTGCTATCTGGTGCCAAGAACTGAGTTATTTTTGAAAACTTTGCTCAGATATTTTAGATGGCATTAAGTGTAGAGTAGGCTTAGGTAATAAATGCCAGAGTGTTTTTCTTTTACTATCAGAGCAAATAAAATCTGTACAAACAAATTTTCTGATCGCACTTTGGTTTTAGGCTTTAGAATGCTTACTTGAGGTTTTGTGGACTTCTTTGTGTTAAAGAGGCAATAATGTCTTTTTCCTCTGAGAGTTTACCCCACAGAAAGGCTTTTATCTCTCAGAAGAATGGTGAATTTCAAATGCTTGAGAGTTTCTTAACCTGTTGGACTTCCTTACTTCCTTCAAGATATTTCACCCGAAATTCACTTCACACACACACACATACACACACACGAATTTTCTCTTCAACATAAGCCTCAATTGTGCCCTAAATGGTTTAATATCACCCTATAACACGTGAAGGGAGAGCCCGTGGTGGCTTTCTTTGGGGAAACAAGTATGTTTGCAATTTCCTCTTACCAGGGTTGATCTGCGTGGGTGATATGTAGAGAGCAGTATATTTGTTTTATTAGA